CCGCCTTGCGAAGGCGCGAGCCTGGGCGTGCGTCTGGGAGCGCGCTATGAGGGCGCGAAGTTATCGTACTGTTTTCAGAGGGGGTCGAATTTCCCCGCTGCGCTGTGAGCGACCCAGTCCTGAAGATCCCGATTCCCGTAATATTAGTTACCTCTATTCCCAGTCACCCTACCACTGCTCCATTCCGGGCTACAACTGGCGTATACTGCACACAAATGTACTCATTCTCTTGTTCTTCAGGCGATTCTCCTCGGTGCGGTGCTGTTGCTCGGCGCGGGGAGGGTGTTTGATGGCCGCATGACAGGGCAGCAGCTTACGACCTTCGTCTTCTACACCCAGTTCGTCACTTCCGCAAGCTTCGACGTGGGGGATCAGGTATAAGCACACTTTTGATATATATTTTTTGTGCATCACTTCCAATGTGCGCTCACACGCAGCATTTCTGCCGAGTACGAGCTACAATGGAGGTCACACGTAAGGATTAGGGTTGCTCTCCCTGAGACCCCCTACCCCCCTATCCTCCTATCCTCCTATCCTCCTATCCTCCTACCCTCCTACCCTCCCTCCTATCCTGCTACGTTGCTACCCTTCGATATTACACATGACAAGAGTGCGGCACTCGCTTCCCCCGAAGTGTACATTAAAACTAGTAGCGCTTTCCGCCTAGCGGCCAAGGGGCCCTCCATGTAGAAACCGTGGACCCCCCCCCCCCCCCCCCCCCCCCCCCCCCCCCCCCCCCNGGGCCCCCCCCCCCCCCCCTCCCCGGGGCCAAGATTGACACGCAGGATCGCCACCTTACGCGGCACACTTGCAGCAGTCTACTGTAGGATTTGTTTAGTGTTTCTGTAGTAAAACCAATGTACTCTTCATCGTGAAGGTTTTCGTGCCGCATTCTAAAACCCATACAATGCTCTTTTTGGTACAGGCTCATGTGTCGTGATACTTTATCCTATACCATACAAAAGATTCCCCACCTCCTCGCGACCAAGATTGACGCATTGACGCGTAGCCTGGGGGTGTTCCATAATTCCCATTAGCTCTGTGTGGGATCCCACCCGCGCGAAAAAGGCACGCAAAAAATGTCGAAACCCTGGGGATTTGGTCAAAACGTCCCCCCCCGGGGACATTAAACCATGAAGGGTAGTCGAGTAGATCATGTTGTGCGGGGTGGAGAAGCCTCGCTCCGCGCAAGGGGGATGATCGCACCACGTTGTGTTGAAATGGTCAAGCACCACGAGGCAGTCACACAGTGCTTACAGCTGTCTCCGGAAGTGAAAGCACCAGAAATTAACTAAGTCATACGCAGCTGCCATCCCCATGCAAGGAAGTAAGCACAAGATGCCGAAAACCTTTAGCAGGATGAAGGGCACCCTTCATGCGACTCGCCGAATACCTCACGGCGCTTCGCGCTTGGTGATGTGAGAGCCTGGTCCGGTGAGAACCCGGCGTGCTCCGTCCCGGCTTCGTAGGGATGCGAGGTCAATGGTCTAACGACTACGGCATGCACGACTATGAGTACACACACACACACACACATGGTCGATGCTAATAATAAAAGCACACACACACACCCGAGGACACATAAGTCCTCCTCCCCCCACCTCCCCGTGAGCACGATTGACACGTAAGCCGGGGTGTTCTATGGTTTCCACATGGAGAGCCCCTTGTTGCGGCGGGGATTTTTAGACGCGATGGCGGTGGTGAATTTTGCGTGCCTCGCTCCATGTGTCAACAGAGTCGTCGCGCGTGGCGCGATGCTTTGACCGGCAATTAGCGCTTGGGGCTGGGGGGTGACTTCGTACGATATTGCTCGTGGGCATGTAAGATGCTGCTGTCGCTAGATATGTCCCCCCCCCCCC